TGGAGCCATTGTAGGTTAAGATGAGATAGGTGCGTAAAGTTGGTGGGGTGCGCCGCTCGCTTGTACGCGCCGCTCGCTTGTAAAACACGTTAGCGTTTATCAATGCATACCCTAACACATTTCAACATCAGCTCTCGGATTCTGCGCTCCTTTATGTGGGGGTTCCATGTCCTCTTTGCATCAGTGCCGCTTCGAAACCACTAACAGATGCAGTGCAATTGCGCTAGTAAAAAGATCTGGCCATTCAGCGGAACAGTGTGTCCTAGCACTTGGAACCTGCGGAGATACTGTTGAAAGTTGATTCAACCTGGTTACCCATATTCGCTGTAAATTTTATCGAAGTTTCGGCGCCAGCAATCCGGAAATGGGAGAACAGCTGGGAGCAAGTACCCTGTATGCTCGACTTCTACGATTGGCTGTGCGCTATGACAAGGCTGCCCTTCTATATCCACTACGAAGGGTCACTGACCGAGCTTTTCGGCAGGCACATCTGATCAACAAAGGAGGAAATACTTCCATTTAGCTGTATATAATTCATGTGTAGCGCAATGGCAGGCCGATGCTAATTGTGGCATCCTTTTATCATCGTCTTGGAGTAAGGTGGACCGCGGATTCCAATTTTGCGGTCATTCATTTTCTGTCAATTGATTCGACGTACAATCTCGATTGGGTACTCTATACGCAAGAATGTTACACCTCACCATGAAATGCTAAGTCGACATGCTCCGTCCGGCGGGCGGCTTCTAGCTCCTCGCACCGTTGTGCATCTCTTACCGCGGCATCCACCGCATCTGTGAGGTCCACATGGAAGAACGGCCTATCAACCCCATACACAGCGTCCATTTGCCTCTTCGTATCCGCAGTCGTAACGATGCCTGCCTCCTCGTCGTTGGTTGCAAAACCCTCACAAAAGCCCTGCACAGTAACATCAGGATGCAACTCGGCCGAACTCTTCTCAGAAGCCTCCCTTTCTACAAAGGCCATGCGCTCGCTGTCCCTGACACGCTTTTCCTCACCTTCGTTCGATGACGAAGTCGACATCGTATACGCGGGACACCATCCAGCCGGCGCCGCCGCGTCTCTTACAGACGGTCGCCCAAATCCCGCCGTTGCCAACGCCCGCCTCGTCCAACGATTCATCACTCCCGCAAAGTGCCACTCCACCTCGTTCGGCGCCGCATACCGATCCAGCGTAACCCGCATGTCAATCAGCCCCTGTACGCTCGTCACGTCAATGACATTGACAGTAGAAAAGTCCAGCACCACGGCGCGAAGCACCGGCTTCTGCGCGGCATCGTCGTCCGTCTTGCGCGTTGGCGGGGGCGCATCGCTCCACAGGCGGTCTTTCATGGGAATCCCGTCGTCATCGACGGTGCGACGGGTGTGCGCGTAAATGTGTGAGAGGAGGTAGTCGACGTGGTGGGCTTGGTTGATGTAGTTGAAGGATTCGGCGAAGCGGTAGATGAAGACACCTGCGTGAACTGGCTCGATTTTGATGCGCGGGTTGTGGGCGTTTCGACTGTGTGTGGGCAGAAAGACGCTCCGCATTGGCTGCTCTGGGGTGATGGGTGAATTAGAGGGTTTAGGTAGGGGGCGTTCGACAGTGGTAGTCGGTTTTTCGCAATGCCGCACCATCCGTGTGACTCTTGCTTGGCCTTGCGACGTCCCTTGTGTACGCGCCATGCGGATCAGGAGCAGGGCGAAGGACAACGCTATGCCCACATAGATTGATGTTTCGAGATCAGTGAAGATGGCGAGTACTACCCCGATGACCCATATGACGAACTCAAACGGCGAGTATTGCCAGAATTTGTACAGCTTGTACGGGGGCGTAACTAAATTCCATGTAGCATGGATAATCAAGCCGGCTAGTGCGGCGTTGGGAATGAAGTAAAAGACAGCTGTGAGGGCATAAAGCGCCAGAACGAGGACCATCGCACTGAAAAGCCCTGCAAGTGGTGTCTTCACTCCAGCTTTCGTTAGCACGGCCGACGCACCAAAAGATCCAGTACAGACATAGCCACCCACAAAGGGACTCAGGAGGTTGGCAAACCCTTGTGCTAGAATCTCTTGGGACGGAATGACGGTATACCCATATTGACGACCAAAGTTTTTAGCGATCGCGATATGCTCGACGATAAGGATGATAATGATAGCGGGTAGCTCTTTGGCGACAAGACCGAAGAGTTCGGTGTTCATGACCGGGACACTGGCATGAGAGAAGCCTTTTTCGATGTGACCAACGATACGAAATTTCTCATGGCCTTCGGATATCGTCCGGTGCACGAGCCAACTGATGAAGGTGTACAGGAGTACCGTGAAAGTCAGGCGTAATGATGAGATCATACCCCACATCCGCTTCTTCGTGGGTTGTCGAATCTCCATTTTCGAGCAGAAGTTCTGAATGGTAAATAACAGCACGATGGAGCTAACCCCGATGGCAGCATCCAGCTGCGCATCTGGTAGTGCTTTCAAGGTATTGATGTATACTTGGTAGGGCGCCTCGCGTGTATTGATACCCTTGATTCCTAGACAGGTGGGCAGCTGTGTCGAGATGATCGTGATGCTAGCTGCTGTGACAAATGCATTGATCGGAGGGTACGGAATGAACTCGATAATCCATCCTAGGCGTAGAAATCCAAGCAGTAGCAGAACTAAACCGCAAAGAAAGCATATTGCGTGGGCGATTTCCTGGGCGTTGTAGACTCCTGGTCTTTCTTCTTCAATCTTGCTAACTACTTGGCCGATGAGCAACGACCCTACAGCAGTTGCCTTGGAAAGAAATCAGTAGGGGAACTCAGAGACGAGCCTGTCCAAGTGTACACTTACGCCGATGACGATATCTTTGGAGGTCCCGAATATCCAATACAGGCAAGCGCCTGTAAAGGTTGTGTACAGGCCGTAAGCCGGGCTTAACCGAGCGAGCGAAGCATAGGCCATAGCTTGGGGAACCACTACCAAGCCCACGGTGACGCCTGAACGAATTGTTGTCAATACAAGTTACATGGAGAGAGAGATGTGATGTCGTTTACCTGCAATGGCGTCCCCGAGTAGCCAGTGTAAATTGTATCGACGTATCCATGATGCAGACGGGAACAGGTTGTGAAAGTAGTCCGCTACGCCTGACACTGTAGGCACGAGATCTCGGAACCATTCTGCGACGCTCGGGTCCTCCTCAAAGAACGTGTCGTCAATGGTATCATGGGCAATCTTCCGCAAGATGCGCTTCTCCTGTTCTTGGGCCGCACGGTCAACGTGTAGAATGTTGGTTTGGACGTAATTTCTGATCCTTTGAGTAGCCATTGGGGATCTTCACCGCTAGATCACGATGAGGTTCGATGATGTATGTAATCTGGTGGTATCAAATATTCCGTCAGGGATAGAAACAAATGTTCGGAAGAATCCACTTCAGAACCTGGCCATCCAGTGGTCAGGGTAATGAGCGTCGAGCGGCATAAACGTGCTGAAATACCAAGGCGAGGTCAACATTTTGTCAATAGGAACTTGCAACCGGCTCTCGGTCCCGTTTGCAGAATAGCCTGGACGCGCTGTCATGATAGTGCACTGGGCTGTACGCCGACGACCCGATGCCTGGGTACATTCCATCGGCCGAGAGCCTCTTGGCGGTTGATTTTGCCAATATCTTCGCTCGTTCCCGCCATACCAAGGAGCATAGTGGAGACTGTCAAGTAATAGCAAGTGTGTGGGACTAATTACTGGCTCGATTGTAATCAGCGCGTGATATGTGACACTCAGCAGATCCATACAGTGGTAGGTTATACCTGCATTGCCTAAGCTGGAAAACGCTAGATAGCCTCCTTGCATTGCACAACGTCTAAATACGATATTTTTCGGTAGATCAATCGAGGTGATGGGAGGTACCGGTGATGGTTCTAATAGTCTTATTGATAGCGGCGTGACAGAAGGTTCCCTGAGGTCGGGTGGTCGTCGCGGGGAACCGTATCGCCAAGCGTTCACTAGTGTTTCTCGAACAGGAGGAAAAGAACATCATGAGCACTCCCATCTCCCAAGTCTCCAAGTATAAAGTTTTCAATAAAAACGGCCATGTCTAGTATACTAATAGGTGTCGCACGGATTGACAACAAAGCGAATTTCAACGATTTTGTTGAAAGGTTCACGCGATATGTCATACCGCAGGACAAGTTCTCCCTCGTGTATTCGACCACAATTCCCATCTTCTGTCTATCAACGCCGCGTTCTGTCCCAGAACAGTTTCCCGGGCGCATCATGCAACCTCCCGATCCATGGCCACATCTCCACAATCTGCTTCGCCTCGCTCCAGCTCCCTAGTCCCATCTTCCTCGTCTGTGCATGCTTAACCAGCACCAGCCACTCTACATCCTCGTTATCCGCTACCCACACACCACCCATCATCAGCAACCAAAATCTCAATTCATTCTCGCCGTCCAAAATATCGCTCTCAAGAACCATTTTCAGTCTTTCCGTCACATTGTCGTAGTTCATGATGCGCTGCGAACCAACCTGCAGGAAAAGACTCATCATGAAGATCTTGAGGCCCACATGATATGCGTCTTCTAGTGTCTGAGGAGAGTGCAAGTGCGGTATGGCGAGTAGACGGTAACAGTAATCGACGAGTATTTCCTGAAAAAAGTAAAGATCAACTTTTCGTGTAGAGTGGAGGTCATTGAAGAGCGTTGTCGCGCAAATAACGTCTATGAGGACGTCTAGAAGAGCGGAATCCAGGTTAGGATGCTGGACTTGCTTGCGCGCCGCTTCTCGATTGAAAGGAAGATCCAAGGAGTGCAGAGTGGATATGATCTGTGGCATGTGGGAGCGATGGAACCGTGGCGTGTCTTCACACTGCAGCGCGTACATCAGGTCTGTTCTAGAGGCGCGAAGTGCGCCGGTCAGTAAAACACCAACACCGAAAGGAGTATGTGCAACATACTTGCAAGCCTTCAGTAGAATGGGCAAGCAGCCTTCCAGTGATTCCAACCCACCTCTAAGTTTGATCATCTGCGCTAAGCCTAAGGTGCGTGTACAAAATTAGTGTGGATCATGACAGTGTGGTGTATGTTTCAGCGCCTTCGCTTGTGCAAAACACACCCGCTTTGTGCCCGATGCTTTGCTTACCATCCATATGAATTCTAGCCGCCTTGTGCTGTTGCCTGCACTGCTCCTGCGTGATTAGTGACATTACCATGCCCATGGTCGAGTCTGAGAGCGCCTCTTCACTCTCTAGTCGCTCCCTGACATACTTCAAACTATTAGAGAGGTGATATATTGCTGCGGGTGATTTCTCGCCGTCTCCAAGGAAAAGTTCGTTACAGGCTTGCATCAGCGCGATGTTGCAGTAAAATGCTGGAAGATATCAGTAGAAGTAGCAAATAAAAGGGAGGACGACGATCATTACCAGCTTTATCAGACATCAGGATACTAAGCAAAGTATATTTCGATTTCTCTATTGATATGCCGAGGGCAACCGGGTATAGTTTATGCGCAATGAAAAGGAAGACTGAGACTCGATCAGCAGCGTCATCGGCTTTGATCAGGGAGCTCACCAGTACAGTTTGAAACAATTTCTGCAAATTGTGGCGTAATCTTCACAGGAAACGAAAGTCCACTTAGCACGTTGTTGTAAATGTTGTCCGGTTTATAATTATCCAAATAGGCGAACCGATCAAACACCGGCTCCTGACGCAATGCCACAGAAGAGACAGCTGTCATGTTTGCAACTTGATGAGGGGGTACATCTATTCTCGACTTTCGTTTTATCGTTCTTCCGGCATTCTTGCCCATCATGACATGGCGGCGCATCCGCTTTTTGGTGAGTTTGTCGACGTGGGTACCGTTGACGAAGCAGAATGTCTGCTGCATATTGAATTCAAGGTAATAGACTCGGATGAATCGTCTAACAATAGATTCCGTCCTTCTGGAATATGGATGGTGGATGCCTAAGGCGTAGCGCATCGGAACTTAAGAGGTAGGACGAATAATCTCCACGTCTAGCCAAGTTGGGATTAGGTGATGCGGAGATAAGCGCCTAAACCCATTTCGCGTGGACTCCCGCTCGCTTCTTCGTCCGCGTGCTTACATGTATAATACCACAACGAGAATGACGATTTGAGGTGGAGATTCGACTACATCTTTAAGTTCTTGGTGTAACTCTAGCACCTGCACATGACCACCAGTTGAAGCATTCCGAGTGTTCTGGCAAGTGACTATCCTTCAGAATCAACTTCCAAGTCCGCATCACATAGCAATTTCAACCCCAGATGGCATATTTGCGTAGTCTCTGAATGGTTTCGCGCACCAAAATGAGACACATTCCCGCCCATTGTACGTTTCTATCATTAGTCTTATCCGCGGATTGGGAGCAGCGAAAAGTATCTCCAGCGAGAGGATGTGCCAGCACCCGCTACAACCCAGCCATTGACCTGCAAATGTCGAGTCAGCCGTGCTCTTCTGCCTCTACAACATACCTCCTCACTGGTCCCAGACCTTCTGGCCCCATACCAGCTCAGGCATCTTCAGGTAGCTGTCCAGGCCGCCGATGGGAATGTTGAGGCTTCCCTCGTCATCTGGAAAGCCCAGCGACTGATTGAAACACTCTTGATATACGAACCTCAAAGCACGACGCACCGCCTTTGCGCATTCCTCCGGATTATCTGGCGCCACACTCATGCCTCCGTCCAAGGCGTACATCTTCATCGTGCGGAAGAGCTGTGATCCGATCCATATGAGCTGACCCGGGCGAATCGCTCTCTGAAGACAGTCACAGTCGTACCCCGCGTGGTTTCCGAAGAGTCCGAGAAGTAGTGACAATGGATACATGGAGTGCCAGGCACCATATGCAGTGGCGTGCTTCCTATGGACTTCCTCGGTAAGAATGTGCTCCTTCGCGATTGGTGGGTCCTTCATGTTGTAGTATGCAGGGTATATAATGTCCGTTCTTGGATTGGTGAGATCCGTGATATAAAGTGTGCCGTCGCGGTCGCCGAGGTAGAAGGGGATGGAGTAGCACATAGAGTCTACGACTGACTGAATAGTCTCGCTCACACCTTGGGGACCCATATGAGGCTCGAGCCAGCCATGGGTCTGCATTATACTCAATATTTTATTGATGATAAGTTGAAAGCCGCGGTAAGTGTTGAAGACAGAGGCGACTTGAACCGATGGGTAAACTTCACATGTTTCTCGGTACATCGGAATGTGAGTCTTTGGCATTTCGGGTGATGGTGTCCATGTTTGTGGCAGCCAGTGTTCTGGGAGGTTGTTCAGCCATTCCGAGGATGCCTTTTGGAAGTCGAGAATCGCGGCGTATATCATAGCAATATCGACCCTATGTGAGCATCGCTCGCTCGAACACTGGGGATGACTTTTTAGAAGACCCTGGAAACTATGTTGAATATTCGCCACCGAGATCCCTATCCAGTTGAGCTTCATCACTGGGGTTCTGGGCATGGTATATGGCAATGAAGTAAACCAAGGGATCAGACCCGGATCGACCTGAAGAGTGACGTTAGCAATTTTGAGAGGCTTGGGAGGCGGTCTGTTGAGGACGAGAAATTGATTGATTAAGCAATGATGCCGGGATGTCAGGCAGTAATGGTTGTCAAGTTGTGAAGCGTTAATGACGTGCTTCATCAAGATTACGGCGCAGCAAAATTTAAAAATAAAGAAATCGAACCGCACGTACCGGTTGGCATTCGCGAATAGCTAAAGAAACCACGATGCTGAGAACGTTGAGAAGCAAGCCTCGGGAGGCCACTGTCGAAAAGCTCTCTATTGGCAAGCTCTGGATCAGCGCAAGGGCTCCATGATAATGCATTTTAGACGCGGCACGCATGCCGAATACGGCGGCTACATTCTCATGGAACTGCAGGAGTAGGATTGTCATCAACACTTCAGGACCATCGATTGGTCCGTCTCTGAGACGTATCCGCAGCCCGCGTATAGCACGCATGAAAGCAGGGTTCCTTGCCTGGGGCCCACGCTTGTATAAGCGCCATACATTGAAGAGGATGCCACCAACCGCTGCAACCGCATCCGCGACTGGTGAGTTTGCTGGACTGGCATTTATGGTGGGGACTACACTCTCCCATAGCCCTCTAGTCGATACTGGGTCTCTCCCAGCAGTCGCAAAGTTCATGACAAAGAAGTTCAATGCCTGTGTCTCGAAGTTCTCCTGTAAACCAGCCGGAGATGGAACGTGTGTTGGGTTGGATCCCGAGCGATGCACCACTAATGCCGTTTCGTCCTTGAACCGAATCTTTAGTGGCTTCTCTGATTCGTATCCTGGGCAGATGTATCCGGATTTGGTACACCTTTTGCAGGCAGGCTCATTCTCGTCGCATTTAATACGTCGCTGCTTGCACATCCTGCAGCCCCATGAGCGACCGAGATTGACCATAATGGGTGGCAAGAAGAGGCGTAGTCTGTAGTGTTACTCGACTATCGTCAGGCCCTGCGCTGTTTATTACACAAATGCGATTGCGGTAGAGGACAGATGGTGAGGCTGAGGACGAAGTTCCTCGCAAAATACTTACTTAGAGTGGACTAGCGTGGTGCTGTCTTGGGGCGCACACGTACGTAGGGCTGAATCCACCACCCCGCAACGTATTGCGTGTATCCTTGGGATGTGTCTCTATTCGGTAAAATTTACCGCAGGAAGTCGAGTGAAAGTACGGGAATGACTCCTACTTGTTTCTACTGGTTCGTCATGTAAAGTTCGGGTAGAAGCTGGGGGCCAAATGTGATACATGTCTCCCCGACGAACTTGGCACCCGTCATGCAATTGGATCCGTCATGATAGTAGCAGATAACGAGGGTGGAATGTAACAGTGTTAGACGCTGCTTGGGGAGTGTAGCCATCAAAACCTTTCGCCAAGCGACAGCGAGCGGAGATAAAGTCTTGGGGTCTGTCTATTTGTAATGTGACGTGAGGAGAAGGGGGAAGACGCCGGGAACTCTATCAATGGTGATTGGTCAAGTACGAAAACGATTTCAGAGTATAATTTACCAAGGATCTCACTGAAACATTCGCGTACTTCTCGTACGAAAGCGATCGACAAACTAGTATTGTGCTCGTCGCATCTGGAGGAGTTCGCTTGTGATGTCTTTGCTTAATGTTGAATAGGTGACATTGCTATCATAGTTTTGACGCCGCGCTAATTTCAACCAGTCTTAGTGTACAGGAATTGTACTTGTCTTCAGTTGGGACCAGTCAATTGACCACTCAGTCATCTCCAATTAACTTGATTGTTATTCGTGTCCTGCACCGGTCCGCCCACGTCTGTCCCTGGAGAATGGAGTTGCTGCTGTGCAGGCATCCCTTGCCCGTATATCATGGCTTGTCTCATCCTTCCCTCGGTTGGTTGGGGCATGTCTGGCATCGGCTGAGGCGGTGGTGGCGTTGTCCAATCTTGTATCTGCCCCGGTGAATGTGATGCATATGGGCTGCTCTGAGTATTGTATGGACTTGATGCAAAAGGACTTGCTTGTGGAGGGTAGATAGCCGGCGGCGTTGTTGGCAGACCGTGGTGCATTTGTTGCTGTGGCGAAGATCCCGGCATGCTCATCCAAGGCTGATTGAAATACTGCACAGGCAGCTCTTGCGAGGGAGGGGAGGCGTGCGGCGAGGCAGCAGCGCGATTGTATAACTGCGTTAGAAGCACCTGGGATTCGCGCTGAAATCGCTCTCGCCAATGAGTGAAGCCAAATCTCAAACCGAAACGAGACAGTATATCTGTGAAGTCGTTTATGGTGTTGATAGCCCGTGTGACCGGGTCTAGCGGTACCGTGTGACCATCCGGTAATAGCGGTGCAGGAAAAGGTGGTGCCAACACAGGAGCAGGCGGCGCCAGAGGATCCTCGGACACGTTTGCGGGAGCGGCGGGAACTGGTGGAGCAGGTGGTACCGGGTGTAGGATGGCATCCGTATTTCGTGAAAGCACATCGACAAACTGACGACCAGTCATATAAGCTCGCATGGCATCGTAGAATGTGACGGGTGGCTTGGTTGTGTGGGAGGTCTTATTGAGCTGGGCGAGAAGGTTTGTCGCATACGCGATGCAGTGCTCGAAGATCAGCCGCTGCGCATACTCCTGAATGTGTGGTACGCGTGAGCTAGGCGATAATATGTACACATAACTGTACAAAAGCTCGAGCTCAAAGAAGCATCTAAGCGCCGGGAGTGTGCTCTGGGACATCGACTGGAACCATTCAGTCATCCGGTTGTACATTTTCCAAATGTATGGGTATGGGTCCTGCCATGGTTCGCGGCCGGACTGGAACAGGTCCATGTACCATTCGGACTGTATCTGGCGGATCTTGAATAGGTCGAGAGCAGAGTCAAAGGCTTGCAAGAAGACATGGCTCTGCGGAGACGAATGTTTGGGTGACGTAGGTGAAGTGTGAAATGGGAGGTGCACGTGTGCGGAGTCATCCGAAAAGGAGAAGGCGCGAGTCTGTACTAGCGCAGTCGACCTGGCGAGATCAGCAATTGAGTAACAACACCTACAATCACAAAGACATACCTATCAAGCGAGTACACACACCAGTAAACGCGCCGGCGGATCTCTAATTTGGAGCGGCCTATTGCTGTGCTCTTGGAAGGATCTTGGTGGATGCCAAGATCGACCATGGCTCTAGAAGCAGCACCGATTAGGGTCCAGCTGTCGAAGTGGTGTGGGTCCATGGTGGCGTATATCACCAGGAGCACCAACGCTTGTATACTGCTGATGAATCCAGGATGAAGGACCTTCTCAGCTTGCTCCAGGGCGGCATTCACGTGTCCAACCGCGTCAGAATACAGCGTGTCGCCTCGCTGTTCTGACTGTGACAGGCACGCGATGGCAAGCACCATTCGGACGACCCAGATATCGAAAGGCTTTGCTACACCTTCTAGGTGATACACCGCATCGACACATGCATACAGGGTGGCTTCCTCGAAAATCGGCAAGAGCGTGAATATGTTGTTCACATACTGCTGGATTAAAGGTGTCGCTGCGTATCGCGGAGGCAGCTTCTTGGTCAGACCAGCTGGCATCGGTTCCTTAGAGCTGGCAGACAAGATGAGGCGAGCATACGACATCTCGGTGGTGAAGCCGTAGAAATCTCTCGCAGTGGCGTTCACAGCCCTAGCGAACGTCAACACGAGCTCGAACACCCAATCATCGGCAAGGGACTTACAAAAGGCCAAAATCCGACACCAGCTCGTCGATACTCGATGCTTCTTTCCGCTGCGCAGCGCGACTGCTGGAGCGGTCGGCCTTGACAGTTTCCACCGAAGAACGACGAGGACTGTTGAGATCGGTGTCGAGCAGCATCAGAGACGACTTCCTCCGCGCCTTCTTCGCTTCTGCTATCTTCTTCTCCAGCCTCTCGACCTTGGCTTCCAGGGTCGCGACATAACTCCTTTCTTTGCCACGCGCGAATTGGTCGTTAGTGCTTGAGCATTCCGAAGCGCGGTTTGACTTCTCGCATGCGGTGCATGCAGGCAATTTGCCGTCACATTTGATTTTGGCAGCTCTACATCTCTGGCAGGCAGCTACGGGTCTGCTCACCCGGAGCAGCGGTGTTTCCAGCACCATGAGATCGTTGCCGACGAGAGGGTAGCTTTCGAGGTCTGGAATCATGGCGGATATCAACATCAAATTCACACGAAGGACCGATTAAAAACTAGAAGAGGGTCTGTCCGACACTAGGACGTCGGGCTTGTTCGGTACCACAGGAGAAGCTCACTTGGAGGTGGAGGAGGGACACATGATAAGGAAGGCTGGAGAAGGCAAGGGAAGCGACGTGGGCCAGGCTGGAGAATGAAAGACTTTCGAACAAGAGGCAACTGGACTTACCGAGTCGGTGGAGGGTACAATACGGGTTTAGTGTGTGACAGGGCCAGGTCCAGGTGGCCTTAGGTGGGTTTGCAGCACAGGGCGACAGGGCTTCAGCTCGTGCGTCGGTCTTTGACGTGGTGTTGAGGGGCCACCTGCGCGGGGACAGGCGACAGGGCGACAGGGTGTCGCGAGGCGCAGCAGATGCACAATGCGCACTGCCCTCTGGTTTGACTGACGACGGGACCGGCCTCACCGGCTGGGTGAGGAATGGCGCGTAGGCGATCTGTACGATGCCCTGCGCAATGCAGTGCAGACGGTGTCGTGCTCAGCGAGGTAGGGATGGATCGCCAGCGGTGAAGATGCGACGCGGCAGTGCCTGACGTTGCTCGTCGAGTCGCGCGGAGCCTATCAAGTAGCGCTCCTATCCCGCACCACAGGGTGAAGCATCCGCCGCGGGCTGGCTAGCAGCAGCCGCGGCTCGACAGCTCTGGCCGTGGTGCAGCGCACCAGTGTGGGCGAGGCGTTCTAGAGGCCGGTAGTTATTTGACGCGCGCCGGGCACGACTGTCACTCCAGCCGGACGTGGGGACCTGAGACCTGAGACTACATGCCCGCGACTGCCTGCGCTCTGCCTCTGCGCTTGGCTGTGGCACAAACATCACAATCGCGGTGGGCGCCTCGCCGACGCTCCCACTCTCGTTCTCGCACACGCCCCGCGCCTCCTCGCCTGCTGCCGCCGACCTGCTCTGGGATGGACGTGCGCGCATTCGCTATATCCGCTGACGTTTTCCCTCGCCGGACTTCTCCTGGAGCGCGCGCGCCCGCTATCCCACGGTGACGATGGACTCGAGGCCTCCACACGCCAGCCATGCGAACGGCGTGCTACAGTCCAAGGAGGAGGGGGCTACTGGCTCCCCTAACCGCATCGCGCACACGCTCACGGCCTGCTGCCGCTGCCGCACGGTAAGATCCAGCTGCGCACCGACACCGCCGCCCTAGACTTGTACTGAGACATCCACAGCGCAAGACGCGATGTGATCCTGGCCTACCCCGCTGCGGTCCCTGCGAGCGAACCAATTCCCACTGTGAATACTACGACCCCGCCAAGGGCAGCAAGATCCCCCGCAACTACGTTGTCCACCTGCAGCACAAGGTGCGCGATCTGGAGAAGCAGCTCGCCGACCTGGAGAAGGATGATGGCGAGCCGGACCCTGAGGATGTGATGCGGGGGTCAGCCGCCGTGAAGGTGCAGGACACGGACGAATCCAAGTTCCTTGGGCCCTCCAGTGGCATTACCATCACGCGCCTGGTGATGCAGCTGGCGAAACAATTCACCGATTCAAAGAGCATTTCAGAAATTGTCCCAGATGCGCGCGCGAAAACTATAAAGGCGGCCTTTGACCAGGAAGATGCACGGCCCACGTCAAAGGTCTATCCGCTGGTCAGCGACGTAGCGGCTGAAGACTTGCCGAACAGAGACCTGACGAACCTACTTGTGGAATTGTTCTATTGCAAAGGTGGGCTCTCATCTCCACACCATCGTAGCCATACTGACAAATGCAGTCCATGCCATGTACCCGATTTTCCACGAGCCGACCTTCACCCAGGATGTGGAAGATGTATATAGCGGGTCCACTGATGCTTATCAAAACTTCTGCGTCCGCATGGTGATTGCCATCAGCCTCCAAAGGATGGACACGCAATATGCTGGCCTTGCTGACAGCTATTACCTCGCCGCTCTGAAGTACTTTGAGCAGGCGATAAAGCCAATGAACCTCAAGACTCTACAATGTTTCGCGCTAATTGCTGGCTACTCTCTGTTAACCCCCACTAGGACTGCAGTTTACTACATAGTTGGTCTGGGCGTGAGGCTATGCCAGGCTCTGGGACTACACGAGGAGAAAACTATCACCATGGGCCCTGGTGGCAGGCCTGCTAATCCTCTTGAGGTTGACATGCGTCGACGCGTGTTTTGGAGCATCCTCACTATGGACTATGGTCTTTCTCACAGTCTTGGTCGTCCTAGTCATTTTGCTACCAGGCGCGAACACATTGATGTCAATTTTTGCGAGCTGGTTGATGATCCTTTCATCACAAAGGAGGGCATCAGACAGGCGCCACAACCTTCGCTGAAGAAATGGATAGCCATTCATTTCTACAAGATGCGACTTCTGCAGCTGGAAATGCGAAGAAAACTCTATCTCAAGAAGCGACCAGAACCTAAAGATGATCAAGATCCCTGGTTTACAGAAATGCAGAAGAAGATCGAAGCGTGGAGAGATACCAGTCCGGAAATGGACGCCGGCTCTGGGCTCAACAAAGTCTGGTAAGCGAGGTCTCTGCGATGCCAATCCGACTTTTCTAAAACTATGATAGGTTCGTTGGAAGATACAACACCATGGTCTGTCTCTTGTATCGCCCCTCGCCTCAGATCCCGCGTCCGTCGGCCCGAGCTGCGGTCCTGTGTTACGATGCCTGCCAGTACAACATCTACATGACTCAGAAACAGATCCAAACACAGAGCGTAGACATAACATGGATATTCACCCAAGCTATCTTCATGGTGGTCAACGTCATGCTCTGGAGTCTTTCATACTCCGAGGTTCGTCGCAACCATAGCCGAGAAGAAGTCGAGGGACATTTGGTGGTAGCGCTCGAGTCGATTGAGTTGGCATCCAAACGATGGCCGGGTGTTGCATCTGCTCTTGGGCTCTATCAGAACCTGATTGGCGCATGCATGAGGATCTACGACAAAGATGGCGATATTCCCATAGCGGCTGGTTCGCCATCCGACAGCGCATCGGTAGTTTCATCGAGCATCGTCGAGGGCATCAATAGGTCTCGCACAACAAGCCCGGCATCAGCATCGACATCATCAGTGAGAACGCCCTCAGAAAGTGTACCACCTCCGTTTGGCTATTTACCCACGAACCAGAATCACAATCAAAACATTTACAACTTCAATACTCCCAACGGTACCATGTCATCGCCGTCCTCGAGCGCCCGGCCTGCTTCAAGCCACACCTCACCCCAACAAGCACCGCCGCAGCCTTACATTGACACGCATACGAAGCTTCAAATAGACAACATGCCGACATTCAACTATCCACCGACCACGCAATTTACTCCCTTACCCACAACGTTCGCAGAGCTTCCTCACTGGAACCCAACCTTTACAATGGCACCGCAAGATTCATTCATGAATGGGATGCAGCCGGCGCCTTCTCCTATCTACAACGAGAGCTATGCGGCACATCAAGGATACCCAATGACCGACTACTTGTACCCACAATGGAGTCAAGAGGGTGTTGGTCGAGGACACGGCTTGAACCAAGAGCAACAAATGCAGTTGATGCAGGATTTCGAGGCCAATGAGACCGGCAAGATCGAGGAAATGATCCAACAAAGCCATCAACTGTTTCGGCCATACTCCCAGGCACCATATTGAGGGTTTTGACTTAATACCCGAGAACAACCTATTTCGATTGCAGCAGTGGTGGCCGCACCCTCGTGTGGATCGCAGGCGAACACCTCTCTCGCGCCGTCAAAACTGTGAGGCGTATCCCGCGTTGGCTTAGTCCACCGCCCTCTCCTAAGAGACGACTTGGCGCGAATACCCACCATTTCATGGTGCAGAGCTTGAGTGCTACTAAGGGATCACCGTGGAGTTGCTTACACCGTGCAAGCGGAAAAGGCAGACTGCCAGCCCCACCAACATCAAGTCCGAGATGTGTGATGCTCAACGAGATTGCGTACTACCTCCGATCACCGGCTTGTCCATTTAAGATAGGCTAGCCAACGCTGACAACATTTCGATATGATAGATATCTGTGCTGGTGGGGACAGGAGGCGACCACGAGCGAGCGCACGTGAGCCAAGTGATTTTGAACCTTGTAAAGATCCATGCACATGGACCAACCCACGGAATGTGCAGCTAGGGCTACCAGGGAGAGTACCCGTGCGGCCGCAACTTTAGCGGAGGAGCGGTACATATACGACGACGTGTTTTTCTTTGAGATAAGTGAAGGCGATTGTAGGATTAATAGCATGGGAGGGACGATATCCACGATAGCACGATGCATGCATTCAAAGGAGCAATGGTCAATGTACGATGAGGAATGAAATGGAAGGAAAGGGCTGCAGAGAAAGGGAGATACAGTGGGGATGGTCGGCCGGCCCATCTGCGTATGTGCGTCTCTCACTTCGTCACGCAATTGGTGAAGCTTCAAACCTATCCCCCATGACTCTTGTAAATGGATGTGCAGTTGTTTTCAGATCCGAGCCCATACTCCATTTGTGCTGAGTTCATTCTTCGCTTGTCTCAAAACAAGCAGATAATCATGTCTGCATGTGTATAACCATCATGCTTGTATCACGAGGCCGTCGCACTGTCGTCTTGCTGCTACGCTTACAAGCTGCTACAGAAACCCAAATATCCCGTACTATGCCATGAGCGACCATGTCGATGCCGCATGCTTTCGGTCTCCTTCACCCGTGGCGCCTAGGCAGCCAAGACCGCATTTGTCTGTGCCTTCCTTCAGCGCTCCCACAACCAATCCGGCAAGACCTCCTTGTCAGCCTAAGTGCCTATATGCGCAGCCTGGAGCCAATACTCGCGCTTCACATGCGCGTGGAATGCCTCAAACAGCTCCCTGATACCTTGCTCTTTCCACGTACCCGGCTGGTCACCGCGAGCCGCCTTTCTACGGCTAAGCTCACGCTTGGGTAACTTCGACACGTTGGCTTTCGACACGACGCGAAAAGGGGGGTCGGCGTCGTCGGGCGTCTTCTCCCATGCGCAACCTTTACCGTTGTACTGCGCCTTCTCGGGAATAGCTGTTATGCCGTCGTAGTGGTTGTACAACTTGACGTCGTCGACCGGGTCGGCGTCGACTTCGTTAGAAGAGGTGGAAGTCATAGTGGTGTCGCCGTCCGCATCGATGCCTGAGTCCTTCGGGGAGTCCTCGGTGTGAGTTACATCGGCGTAGGCCTGGCGGACGGCAGCATAGACGTACTCCCCGCCGCTCATCACAACATGTCGGTCGTCACCTGCTATGTTGCCGCCTGGTAGCGTGGGCTTATTCCCATCCAGCTCTTCGACGAGTTTGAGGAGGGTGTCGTCTGGCTTCTTTGCGTGGTCTTGGATGATGTTCTCGATGGCGATTGTAAGGCCCTTCATGAATGGGGGAAGGTGGGCTGCCGTGAGTGGTGGGAAGCTTGGGAATTCTACGTCGGGTGAGGGTGCGGTCGCAGTCATGGCTGCGGTCGTGGTCTCGGGTTCGGACTCCCAGTCTGCGTCTTCGTTGTCGCTTGCCATCTTGGTCGTAGGTTGAGGTGCAAACGGCGACGCGTTGAAACCGCCACCGGTACTTGGGGTATCGGAAGTGCTAGGAAGGCTCTCGACGCGAGACTGGCGAGTGCGTGAATCATTTGTGGACGGATTTAGTCCAAGTTGCTTCCGCTCCGCCTTGACCTTTTTCCCATACAAGGTATTCAGCAGCTTCTCTGGCGAAACCTTCAACTTTACGACCAACGCTATCCTGGGCTTCCCATTCACCAACACGAACCGCGCGGGAGGCTTTTTCACGTAGTTCCCATTTTTATCGAGATTCTCAAATCCGGCAAGACCCTCGGAAGGGTCGACCACCCCTACATCGGGAGGAGCGCTGGTGTTGGAACCCTTCATCTTAGTGCCCGACTCATCAGAGTCGACGACGAACTCTTTGGACTTGTAATTCTTGCCGCCTTCCTTGTGAACAGATATCTTCTTTTTGAGCGGGGTCTTGCGACGATGAGGCGCGGGGGCCTTCGGGGGGGATCGCGGTGCTCGCTTTGTGTTTGTGCTTGGGCGTGCGAAGCCTATTGCGAGGTCAGCGGCGGAATAGGCTGCTATGGTGGTGGACGTCGACGTACGCATGGAGCTGAACGGGTCGGAAGGAGACATAGAGCGGGAAGGGGGTAGTCGGCGTGCGTCGTCGCTGCCTTGTCCATCTACCTGCGACAGCTGGATCCCAGTCAGTGAATCGGCACCCATGTGGCGCGCAGTGTGACTGCTTGGGAGACCTACCGCTGTTTTCTCTGCATTCGCGCGTTGTTTCGACAGGATCAGGACAAGGTGGTCGGACGCCGTCTTCTGAATCTTCTCCTGCGACCATTCCGGGTTTCGTGCCTTCAAAGTGGCCTGGATCTGCTCTAGACGTAGGGCTTTGGTATGCTTTGACGCATCTCGTTTGCCTTCAGTGTGTTTGACAGTCGTAATGACTGCTGTATCCACCGCCTTTGACGCTGTTAGGGATCGCGACAAAAGTGATACGGGCTCTATCTTCTTGGCCTCGGCCGAAGGTACGGCTGGATCTCGTAGCCGAGAAGTAATGGCACTCTTCTGTGTTTGCGACATATTCGCAGATGATCGAGCAGAGGATTCATGCTCGACCTCCTGCTGGATCTCACCCGTTGCTACACCCACTTTCGGAGAAGCCTGTTCATCGTTAGGAAGATGATTTATTGCATGTTCAGAGTAACACTTACTCGGAACTTGCTTTTGACACGGCTTGCTCCTTTCTCTGCCATCAGCAAGCTGCCCAGGTCCAACAGTACCTTTTTGAGCACCTTCACTACCGGTTCGTGCGCAGCAACAGCTTTCTGCATGTCAAGCACGGCAACTTCAAAGAGGTGAGCTATCTCAGCATGGTGTTCTTGCGAGAGATCGCACGCGGCGTAATGGTCTCTACGCTCGTAGAGCTCTAGAATGGCCTTGTCGTTAGACAAAGTCTCGTCGCGAACGGCGTTGAGGAGCGTCAACTGTTCCATTGCGAAGGTACTGTGGGCAATCAATTGTATCAGCAGTTCCTCTAGGCGTCAAGAACAATTAACCGTTTGTGTCGAGGTGATGGGTGAGGTGATGAAGTAAGCGTGGATCCGTCGGAGGTGACCTTGTTTCGATACACGGACCTGCACGACCGAGGTACCTGCACTAACTTATTCCCAGTCGAATTCACAATACGTCTATTGTTCGGAGCGCAAGATTTCACGATCGAGTCTGAGGTCACAGTTCTTTGCTGAGACTTTCCAATATCGCAGCGACACATCCTGGACTTCAGTCACTCCAAGTTGATCCTCGAGTGCGTTTAGCATTTGTATCTTTTCACCTCCCGCCTAGATTTGGTGCTAAATCCCCTAGAGCGACACAGGCAATACTTAACCATATACCCAAATTCTGTGTTCCTTCTGTTGGCGTGCTGAGGTACAGCACCATCGAGAATTCCGAGCCCTCAAATTTAAACAAAGGCAGAATCGGGACGACTAACACATGTAGATAACGGTTCTCCGCTAGGTCATAGGGACCCTACAGTAGTCTGTAACAATTTATCATCAAGTAAACTTCTCACCAACCAGCCTCTCAGATAGCTCCCATAACCTCTCCGCCTCTTTCTTCGAGCACGCCCGAATGTATGCCATCTCGGAGATCTGGCAGTCAATCATATAGACACCATACACCTTGCCATCCTTCTCCTCACCGACCCCTTCACCGAGCTTCGGATCAAGTGCGGCTGTCAAACTTGTGGAAGACCCCGCACCTAGGGACTTGTACTTGAACGCCCCTCTCTTGCTCATATTTGACACCGCCTGCTCCATCTCCGTTCCAAAATCCCTGCCCAGCTCGGTCGGTATGATGCCTGGGTGCACAGCGATACTAACAATGCCGTGCTTCTGATATAGTCGGTCGGATAAGCCAATCGAAAAGAGTACGTTGGCGGCTTTGGACTGATTGTACCCTTCGATCGGAATGTACGACTTCTCCATAACGTCGCTGAATCCCCACCTGCTCAAAATCTGCTCATTTGGACGCTCCTCTTCCGGCAAGTCTTTGTTGATCTTATCGAAATTGATGTCGCTCCAGCGGACGCCTGCGACGGTTGGCGACAAAGAGGACACATTCACGATGCGAGTCGCGCCACGCGGACTGCGCTGCGCCGCGGTAATCAACTTCGGCATTAGGAGCGAGGTGAGGAGAAAGTGTCCGATGTGGTTGGTACCGAAGTGCATTTCTATACCCTCTGGTGTGAGCTGGCGTTCTGGCAGACCCATAAGTCCGGCTGAGTTGACGATGATGTCGATCGCATCCACGTCTTTCCAGGAAAGAATTTCGGCAGCAGCATCGCGCACTGCCTTTTGGGACGAGAGATTGAGGACCAGAGGGCGGTAGTCGACTTCTGGATATTCTGTCTTGAGCTTCTCGATAGTTTCTTGGATTTTCGAGGATGTGCGGCTAGCAAGGACTAGGTGCGCCGGGGATTGAGATGCCTGTATGATGTCAGTCAATTCCACCACGAAGGCTTGACGCGTTTCCTCCAACATACGAAGGCTTGCAACGTGGTGTACCCGATGCCGCCGCTGTTTGCGCCCGTCACAATGATAGTCTTTCCGCGGATGCCGTCAGTGAAAGCCTTGGCGACTTCGAGCGCTTCGGTGTCGTGTCCGAACTCTGCATATGTAGTGGAAGGCATTTTGAAACAGGGGTCTCTGTTGGCAACGTCTAAGCTACGTTACTGCCAATGACACAAGACGGTCGTTGTATGGGTTTCGAAGAGCGAATTGCAGAGCTACTTATACTCCATGAACTCTCACATTTTGACCACAACTGTCCTCATCTCCATGGATCTACCAATCCGAGACTTGCAACTCAATATGGGAACGCTCCTGAGAGTTGTAGCTGTTGTGGAGTTGTGCGTTGTCTCCGCTATCTCCGCGTCCGAGGAATTCGCATTACTGCGCCACCACCGTAAGAGGCTCGGAACAGTTATCCCAACCAATAAGAGATTTATCACCAGATGCGTTATAAGCCCATTCCATCAGCGCCTTGCACGGATAAACAAAGCCTCATGAGAAAAGAGAGCGACCTTAAAGGTTTTAGGACGGCGTTATGCTTGGCAAACATTGAATGGTCAACGGACACAACCCAGGGGTCAGCACCGACCCGGCACCCAGAGAACCGAGAGAGGCTCAAGATTACGTACTCACATACACATCTCTGGTTTCAATCCCTGATTTCAACAGCTGTCAATGGATTCTCCGTGCTTTCTCACCAGAGGAAGAATTGTCACTCCACATCACGCAATTAGACATACATGGCCAGTGTGAAAATGTAGCTCTCTTTGTGTCGAAGCATCTAACATTAGACACAATGAACAGAAAAAAGGTAGAGAGCTGCGTTGTTGACCAACAATATAGTGGTAGACATACGTGTTCGAAATAGGGACTTCCCATTATTGTCATTCCCTCTCTCAGAGAGCACTTGCTGCAATCGTGCTATTTTCCTCGTCATCATCACATTTCGAAAACAATCACCGCATGGTCCAAGTCATGGACGAGCGCTGTTCTGCGCTCGAGGTCTTACCATCCCTTTTATTGACTGAAGGCTATCCAATCCTCTATCTTCAATTGGCGCTGGCACGCCTTGCTCAGATCGTATCGGACCAAGAGCGAGTCACTTTTGATTTTCCCGATCGCGAATCTGTCTACAAGGTGCGATCTAGTCTCGACTTCCTAATCGAATCGTTCCGGAACGGCTGGATAGGGAGCGTTCCTTGCCACACTCTGCTAATGAGTTTCCATTCGATATGTCCGACATGCTATCAAGTGAACTATGTCAGAGAAGAATTGTGCTACATATTAAAAATTCCGAAGGCCTTCTACGAGATGACACAGCGCATTTATGCCACCAGCGAACTAATTGCGCTTGTAGTAGACTCCATGTCGTACCAACTAGCCACCCAGTTCAAGGACAAGGTTTTTCAACCAGTCGTGCTTGAAATGGAGCAATACATTCAGGCACACAAAAACCTAAACCAGGTACTGAAAGGTGGGCCTTTCGATGACTTTCACCCCAACATGGCATCTATGATATGATTGCCCTTTAATGATCACATCTTCAGGGAGTGCATCGAATTTTCAGTGGATTTGACCCAACCGTGGACTAACGAGGAGAGGTCAGCCTTTGCGCAGGGTTTCTTGGAGAAGATTGCAGGGTTCTTCACTCACATCATTCACCTGCTCGCGGAAGATTGCGAGGCTCCAGATGAAGATCAGTGGGAGGAATTCGAACCGGATGATCTTACGGATGTACTTTCGGGACCCGACAGTGCTTCCATCGATTAGTCAGCCAGGTTGTTCACCAACCTGGAGATCAAATGTGCAGTATTTGTTGGGAGAAGCAAGCCAGCGTGCGCAAGCTTAACGCCTACTTGCACGTCTTTCGCGAGAGCTGTTTGACAAGCCAACTTAGTTCGCAGCATTCTTCGCGATATTGTTGCGCAGTATGCCGCCATGAGGCGATTCGCCGTCAATTGGACATAGATCTAAACCCTAGCAGTGTGTACTAGGAAGATCTCTCTGTCTACCTTTTGAATATCTCGTAACGCGTCTAGCGATCATTGTCAAGCCCATAAGACGACTGCCGTGGTAACAACAACCTTTCTCTCTCTGAAATTGGAATCTCGTCAAGTTTTTGGTGTTCAGTTTTCTCGTTCTCTTCATTGACAGATACAAAATTCACAATTCCTCACGATAAGAATTCTGTTCAAGTTCGACATGTATATGTAACATTCCAGACATTCCTTGAAAAACGCTATCTTGCTACTCTATGTTGTACGCTATGCTTCTTCTTATTATCCATCAGGTAGTCCTCTCTTTGACCGCAGCATACATTTTCCTACGGATCCGCCACGTCGAATTCATTCACGTCATAAGTTAGCGGAAGTCATTAACAACCCTACGGCGGTAATATCCACTGGACACCCAAACCCATACGACCGGCCAACGTATAAGATGCCACTTTGGAATAAGACGACAATTGATACTGCTACCCGCGCTGTCAGGTGTGACAATGAGTTTTCTGATTGTTGACACGTGACTATCTACGAAGTGGTGTCCCGTAAGAAGGTAAACATATAAAGACCGTCATCTAAGCACACAGAAGAGACTGAGCAGGTGTGACCAACGGGACCAAGGAGTCTGTCGTAGATGCTCTAGTGCTCGTAGCCGCCTTGCTATTCATCTCGAGGTGGTTAGAAAGGTCTGTAACGTACATCCACGCATCGCAGAATACCCAGCGCACCGGAACAAAACCCACTACTGAAGCGTTTTGTAAATACTTCCACGCACTTTTATACTTGGAATTGTATACATATTGTTAAGCAGCCCATGCTACCTATACTACATTAGTTGGTCTAGGAAGAGATGATATTTCAAGCATGCTGTCACGATTCTATTTGGGGCGGCTTTTTGCGTCTCAACTTTCTACTCCTGCCTAGGCACGAATCCAGAGAGAGGCTTCGATGCGGAGGCAAAAGATAGGATTATGGATTAAAAAATCTATTCTTATAAACTTTGTAGAGCTGAATATATAGAATCGCGAAGCCTAAGAGTTCCAAAGGGTAGAGTCTTCCTCAAGCGTAAAAAATTCGCGGGAAGGACCTGCATTATGTTATATATCTTAAAAGCACGCTATGACACATCTGCTAGCGTTCCGGTAGACAAGAATGTTAGCAATGTAAAGTGTTCTCTTCTATGTTCAATTCCCTTGAGCTTGATTCCGTCGCATTCTGACAAGGCAGCAGGGGCTTCTTTAGAGCATGAACACTATGTTTACAGTAGAAGAAATCTACCGAAATCAGTGGGCGAGGTAGAAGATCTTTTCAAAAGTGCGTGTGTCCTATTCTGCTCGGACAAAGCTTATAATGTATTCTTGCACTACTCTATTCTTCAGGAAACTAGACGACTCACACAGGAAGAAAATCCCCGTGGGCATTCCCTACACATGACTGCAACTGTTGTCCTGTTTCTGTTCCAATCAGAGCTCTACATGATTTACCCATAATTGTTGGTCTGCTGCTCGATTCTCATATCGCCCTGAGAGAGATTCGTGATCGTACCATTATTATTGATAATGTAAGTTTCGGTACCCTGTTCACCTGTTACTAATTACTTCTTAAACCGAAAGATTATACTGCTCTCACCGTGCTCACGTCAACCACATTGACCGCCTCTATAGCTTGCTTGATCTTTGCTCTCACTTGCTTGTATCCGTCATCTTCGGCATCGTCAAACTTACAGATGTCACGATGATTGGCCTGCATAGGCAGAATTTCCCCAACCCCAGGGTAGGACGCATCTTCCTCCTTGACAACCCACTTAATGTTACCGTTAGCAACTAGTGTTATAACTATTGATCGTACCCTACCACTTTATAGGTCATCTTCTTCTCGAAGAAGAAGACCACGCTGATCTTGGCTGGGGTTTGATTTCGCTTACGGACCACGTCTGGAAACCCGAATCGAAGGTCTTTGAGCTCCTTTGAATCTAATATGAGATTCTTTAGAGTGCCTTGGTCCGTTTTCTGAACAAGGCTGTAGATACGCCGGACAACTTCACCCCACCCAGCAATCTTAGAGCCGTAGAATGGCGTACCAAGGAATATCATCCCTTTGATGCATTGCGCGATCGAGTGGATGCTGTCTCCTTCTGTCGCTTTATTGCCACCATGTACCACTTGAGCGAGGACGAGGCCGCCGAGGCTATGGCCTATCACGATAATAGGACGATCAGCCTAAGAAAACGATTAGTATCGACATGACTTTGACCACGAAAGCGGTTCGAAGTCCGAGCAAAGCGTCTTACAGTGTTTGTCTGCTGGCGTATATCATTGAGGAGGCTACACAGCTGCCGTGCATCATCTGCAAGGCTGCCTTGAGTGACTTCTGCAGTGTCGGAATGTACAACCCCAGAGTCGTAACCAAAACTGAAGATTCGGCTTTTTGGCACATCTTTCGAGAGCAATTCCTTTGGCCAGACCACTCCGTCTTTCGTCCATGTTGACTCCCTTCCTCCACGAAGGCCGTGAACGAAAACGATGCTGTTAAAGTCAGCTAGGCAGAACAGTATACGTAATTTCACAATCATTACTCCCATTCCGCCTTCTCACCATCATGCCATGTGGTTAAACCATATCGCGACATGTCCAGCTGCGCTAGGATATTGAAATCGTCACTTCAGCCCTAGCTTACTCGTATCTTGCCACTGCTAGGAGCCTGTGTTCACTTGTATACTGTCCGCAGCCTGGTGGCTATTTATAAAATGGCTTGGCACTCAGCTGAGCCTATCAATTCTGGCAGCCAGGGAAGGCAGAGCAAGCAGGCACGTGGCAGCCTGATCCCCTACCATGTACACCACAACGACGCGTAGAGGACTCAGTCCGGTTAACAGCAAGAGTCTCAGTCTAAGATGTCTGCCATCAATAACAAGGGCCCTATCAATAACCTTGCCTGCAGAGACATCAGAATCGGTACGTCGCTCACATCTGGCAATATGGATATGCTAACAGTGACATCACATAGAGTCTCAGACGAACAGCTACTATCCAGGCAAGTTGTCGCCGTTGGAGCGTGCATCGTGGGATGCACCACAGGGTCCGAGCAAGCGCTAACCACGGCCCAGCTGCAGAGCGACCAGAAACACCACCACATCCGTCGATCGTGATACCGTTCGCACGCGACGCCGACTTTGTTAAGCGCGGGACACTACTTGATGAAGTTAGTGAGAGGTGCGCCGCGCCAGGCTCGCGGACGGCGCTGGTCGGCCTGGGCGGTGTCGGGTGGGTACCAGCCTCTCTTCACAAGCACCCAACGTTGACCGCAGAGAAGCAAGTCGCAGTTGGCCATAGAGCATGCATATCGTACATTTGAGAGAATGCCCGAGATGTGGGTGTTCTGGGTGTACGCCAGCAACGCCGCGCGATTCGAGCAGAGTTTCCGCGACATCGCCGACAGTGCCAAGCTTGACGGGCGACAGGAGCCACGGACGAACATCTTCAAGCTCGTGCACGACTGGCTGCGCGGCTGCAGGCACAGATGGCTACTCGTGCTGGACAACGTAGACGATGCTCGTTTTTTACTCGACCACCCAGCTGCGAACCCAGCAGCCGCTTCCAGACCTCTGCGCGAGTACCTACCTCGCTGCGCGCGCGGTTCGATCCTCATCACGACGCGGAACAGGGAGGCAGCGCTGAAGCTCGTCGAACGTCGCGACACCGTCACCGTCGGACCGATGGATGAGCCAAGTGCACTTGCGCTCTTCGAGAAAAAGCTAGAAATACAGTGTGACAGCAGGGAAGTTGTCGAGCTTGCGGCAGCGCTCGAGTACATGCCGCTAGCTATCGTGCAAGCAGCGGCGTACATCTCGGAGAGTGCGCCGCGATGCTCTGTGGCCACGTACCTGGATGAGTACAAGAAGAGCGAATGTAAGCAGACGAGCCTCCTAAACTACGACAAAGACCAGCTGCGGCGAGACTGGGAGGCGAAGAACTCGATTATTGTGACGTGGCAAATCTCTTTCGAGTACTTACAGAAGACGCGACAGTCGGCAGCAGATTTACTCTCGCTGATGAGCTTCTTTGACCGACAGGGGATACCCGAAGATCTACTGCGGACTCGAGATAAGCAAAAAGCCATTAACAGCAGCCGCCCACGGCTGGGATCCGGAACTGCAGATAACGATGAAGACGATGATGCGTCACAGTCTAGCGCGAGCGACCCGGGCTCTGTAGAAGACACGTTTGAGGCCGACGTGGTAACTCTACGCAACTTCTCTTTCATTTCCGATGAGAAGAGCGGGACAACCTTTGAGATGCACGCGCTGGTGCAACTGGCGATGCGCAGGTGGCTTAAGGCTAACGGCCAACTGGAGCGGTGGATGCAGCATTTCATCCGCAATCTCTACGTAGCGTTTCCGACTGGAAACTACGACAACTGGGCATCATGTCAGGCGCTCTTCGCTCACGCCAAGTCGGCTGCAGGACACCAGCCGGAAGCAGAGTCTTCTCGGGCAGAGTGGGCTACGGTGCTCTATCGTGCAGCGTGGTATGCGTGGACCAAAGGCAGCATATTTGACGCTGAGGAGCTATCTCTGAAGTCACTAAAGACGCGGAAGAAGGTGCTAGGGCGAGAGCACGAGGACACGTTGCGGGGCATATCCATAGTTGCATCGGTATATAAACTTGGAGGTCGATGGGAGGAGGCGGAAAAGCTAGAGGTGCAGGTGGTGGATATAAGCAAGACGAAGCTTGGAGCGGACCATCCAGACACGCTGACCAGTATGGCCAACCTGGCATCAACATTTTGGAACCAAGGCCGATGGGAGGAGGCGGAGAAGCTA